CAAACATACAGTACTAATTCCCAAGAAAAACATATTAGCTTTTAGTAACTTGTAGGTCAGGAAGTCCGTGAGGTAGGGACTCATGAGGAATCATTTAATGGATTTTTTTTTTCTCCGTGAATTTGTCAAGACAGTATTTGAACCATATAAACTTTAAGTACTCAGATTGTAAAATCAAAGGAATTTCCTCAAGAATGACGGCCCTTTTGGAAGTGAAGCATTATGAATATTACAGCACCAGAAGTGGATTCTCCTGTGGTGAAATCAGACCAACTCCACTGAATATCACTGTTAACACTCTGTGCAGAAATACCTCACTGCAAAACAAAACAAAGCTCTGGGAGCATGTGCTGCTCATGGCATGATCTCTTTTTTTTGATTTCTTTCATCTCAGACATGGGCACAGAGGAAATGAAGAGTTATAAGCTGCTATATAAACTTCAGAGCTGGACTTATGTCTTGGAGGACCATTTTCCTGTAGCTGAGAACTCAAAATGAAGGTGTATTTCTTACCTAGAGATGTTTTACTTAGTACTCTTTGTCCATCCTCACAATGTCAAAACGGCTATCTTGCTCCATTCCTGATACACTGTCTTTATATTTTTTTACCATTGTTTCTCTTTTTGGTAGGCTGTTCATTGGGGAAGTGAATAAATTAAAAGATAAATGGAAGTGTCTTTATGCCCAGTATAACCTTCTTCCTGACTTTCTTTGTATAATTAAATCTTTCCAATTCCAGGATTCCAGAAGAAGCTAATCCCAAGGACACGAGGCCATGCATTTCACAGACAAGCTCTAGATTAAAGATGAAGGAGAAGAGACAATGCAGACACAGTAATTAAAAAATATCTAAAAAGAAGGAGGGATGTTATGTAAAGAGATTAATGTGAAAGGGAAAAGCAGTGACTTAGGGCTAGAAAAGGGGAATCAGTAAGTCCCCCTTGCTCACCTCAAAATGGTATGTATTTAAACTGTAGAAATTGCTTGTGCTTTGAGTAAAACGCTGTTTCTGCTGTATTTAGCAAAGGCAGATGAGAAGAGATGAGGACTCTTCCTGCAGTACTTATGATGGCTCAGGAAACGACAAGCTTCACTTTTTTTTTTTAAATGTCTTTGGATATACAAACTGTTTCAAAACCTTATAACATAATAAATATTTAAAATCTGGACAATGAAAAAAAGCTAGAGCATAGCACTGGGCTTTTATTCAGATAGATAAAATAACTGACCTGGGATCCTGTTTCAATTTGTACTAATCACATCTAATCTGTACATACGTGTATATGGACAGGTAAATTTATGTAAGACAATTAAATTTAAAAGCACTTCTTAAAAGAAAGAAAAATTAATTGTTTGAAGCTTTTATTAGACAGCAAATGAAGTAGAATCACTAGTCTAGTGTGAATTAAAACTACTATTTTCCTACAGCTCCTGTGCACCTCTTGTGCACAATTCTATCACACATATATTGTCTTTGCCTTGTCAGAATATCACTCCATGTTTGATGGAGTAGGCTCAGGATACCTGAACAACTATGTAAGTCCCAATAAAAGCTTCTTTAGGGTAGTAACCATGACTTTTTAAAGGACCCATCAGAAATGTTAACGCATTTGAGAGTTCATTTGCTGTTTGTTTTACTATCTGGAATAGCAAAGCTGCATTCAAATATATTTTTATTTAAAAGAACAGTAGTACAGGCAAACAAAAATTCAAAGCGCTACCAAAACAAAATACCATGTGATTACCCTTTTCTTCTTCTGTATGGAAGAGGAGGCAGCAGATGCTATTTAAGTGACATAATGCATTTACATGTCCTCAGATACATACTAGAGAGAGTATGTAAAAACTTACACAGAATGCAGTAGAATAAAGAGAAGAAGGAAGAGGCAGCAGCACCCTTGCTAAATTTGCTCTTGTCCCTAATTCCCTCTAACAGTGGGATGTATAGTAGGGCTGTGGGCTTGTGCACAGGTAAGATGCACTTTACAACAGGGTGTAAAGCCAATGCAGTTTGCCGAGCTGTACCACTAGATGGAAGCAGATATTGCATGGTTCACACGTAGTAAGCAGGGTGAGGTGCGCCTGTGGCAACTGCTTCCCCAAAGGAGAGGTCCTGGATGTAAATGGAAGCGCAACAGGAGACTGGTGGGAGGTAAGATGCTGCCTATGCATCAGTGGTATCTTTGTCCTCTCTGAGGGCCAAAATCCTGGCTCCTACTTTATTTCACATGCTGTGGAGATGCTAGCTGAGCACTGCTGAGCATCTCTCGGAGATGCCTCCTTCAAGACACAAGGGTGCCTCACTCCCAGCTCCCAGCTTGTGCTGGCAATGCTGCAGGCCAGTCAGCTTGTGTGCTTGCTCCCAGGTGTGTCCCATTGTCAGGACAGTCTTCCTAGGAATACATCTCTGGAGTTTTATCCCATTCATCTCAGTTCATATAGAAATTAATTGTACACTAGAAAACCGATCTGCTACTTTCAGTCAAGTATTTGCTCTCATGCCTTCCTCATTTGTCAGTACAGTGCCTCCTCCAGCATGGTGCATGGATTGTCCCATGTGTCCTTAGGAATGGTTCTTTCTGCACAGTCTTTCCTCTGATGACATCTGTCTTCTGTGTCTTTTCTCTTTAAGAAGCACTAGCAAGTGACTTTTGAGCTCAATAAAGGGCATGGTGTGTCTCTGGTTGTGCTGTGTTCCCTGTGGGGACTTTGGCCATGAGAACAGGCTTCTTTCTGTCAACATTGCATCATTCCAGGACCCCCCAGGTCGACGCAAGTTGGTTGAGGGTCCACGGAGGCTGTGGAGCTCACTAGTTCCATTCTTCATAGTCTTTAACGCAGTCTGGGATCTGACCCTCTATTCTGGGACTTTCTGTTTTTCTCGTACCTCAAGACACCTATGCCCTCAGAATAATATCCACTTAGCACTAGCTACTTCATCTTTGAGCTTCATGTGGAAGAAATGGCTAGCAACCGATGGGAGTGTTTTCAACCTTCTGCCTTACTAGAGGTGAGAAACCTTTCTGAGGGGGAAGCACTTGAAGGAACCATGCCTCATACCCTATCCTTACATATCCTTGACACTCGGGACATCTCCATCAGTGACTTTTTTCATCCATCCCACCATTTGGTGCTGCTTCTTGTGGCAGATATTATTCAGTTAGATGGACTGGACTAACAGGAATTTTTTTATGGAGTAAACTACTGTCCATCTGCCAGGTCTGCTGCTCTAATTCTCTCTCCTCCCCTCTTCAGCTGGTTGCTCCCTCTCCTTGTGGAGGTGGCGGCTGTAGGGTTGCTTCCTTGCCATTGCTGGAGGGACTTCCAAGGCAATCACAGAGCAGTGGTGATCCCATGGATAGTGAAGATCCTTTTTTTGATGCAGTACCTTGAAGGTAAAGTGTCAGCTAGGAAGGGAGTGATTAGAAGAGGTCAAAAGGAGCAAACTCCAGAGATCTTGGTACCCAGAAACAAGACTGGAAATTATGACTACCTTGGAAAGTGTATTAGTGTTTAGATGCTATCCTAGGAAATGTTTATGTTTGATGGCTGGGAGACAAGGACATGAGTCTTCTGAGTATACCTGGATTAAAATTGCCTCTCCTCCTTTCCACCCAGCCCTTGAATTGCAGAAGAAGTTGCCACTTTCTTGTCTCCCACGTTGCCCATGAGCAGACTTCCTGCTCCTAGGTGCCGTGCACCAAACCTGGGGCTGAGCAAAACTTTTGCAGTTACATGTGGACTCAGAGCCCTTGCATCATCGGGCGGCAGCTCTTGAACTGGAAAAGGCTTTTGGATAAAGGCTGGGAAATGCTGTCAGGCTTTTGAGAGACTAGACCTTTGAGCACCTTTGGCAAATGTGTTGAGGTAGAAGAAGCCTTACCTTCCTGTCAGGGACCATAAAAACTCCTAAACCACTGTTCCCGTAAGAGTTTATCCTGTTAAATACGCAAAAAAGCTCCAGTGTTTGTAGACCAGTGCCTGTGTGCAAAGTGAGCTATTGGCATCACACTCTTCCTAGCCTCTCCAAGGACTGTGCCCAGTGGAGGCTTTGGAGTTTCTCAGGTAATACTTTGCTCAGGGAGCTGGGAAGGCACGGCCATTTTCTCCTGAGATTGAGAGACATGGATGCATTTTCCCATGTCATTTCAGCTCTTCAGTTACAGCAGGAAGACAGACATCCCACCCTGTGGCAGAGAGCAGCTCAGGTCCTCAGGACAAATGGCCAGCTCCAGCAACCAGGAGGTCATCCTAGTGTTTCCAGGGCTATCCTTGTCTGTGCTTGGTTTTGTTTTCTGGCAATTTGGGATTAGCCTTCTAAAGGAGGGAAGAAGAATTCCAGTTCATTTTTTTTTTTTAAATTTCAAAATACTTAAGAGGTGTTTGAATAACACAGTGGACAATGGAACAATGGGAATCCTAGTCCACTACTTCTAAAATCTGCTTTTTTGGGAAGCCAGGGAGGAGACAAAGTTGAAAAGCTAGCTGTCCCCTTTGGCAAAGCATCCCAGTTCAAGCTGAAGGAAGCACTGTGAAGACCTTCTCCTCTCTGTGTGAGCTGTATGGGAAGCACGCTGATTCTGAGGAGGCAGCAGTAGGTACTGTGAAGGGCCAGGACATGCATGGGAACTGAAAGCAAGCCAAGAAAAGGGTTTGTAACTCCAGCAGGAAATGCACACAGGGTCTTTAGGTACCTATACCTCTATTCAAAAAAGATACTTGTCCATCTATCTATCACACATGCAGGACTTATTTAATTCCCCAGTGAAATGCCAGAAGAAAAAAAACCAAACACATTAGACAACAGAGTATACAAATTTGTTTTTTTTTTTTTAATTGTTAAGTGAAATTGTATAAAGTGCAAATAAATCAATATAAAAATTCAGGAAGAGAAAGTGCAGTAGGTTGAGTTTACCACTTTAATTAGCTAGACAATTAAAATTGTTTGGGAACACCAAAACAACCAGATGTGAATTCTTTGGTTTTTTGAAGGACTTTCTTCAAGAGTTTGGTGACCTTTTCCCTGTGGGAAAGAAGCAAAAACTGTAAGAGACTGTACTGGAAATGGACAATGCAGACAACTATGTTTTTTTCCTAGTGTTCCTCTAGCATGCCCTGAGGAAGGTGGTGCCTAAAGAAGAGCAAACCAGGCAAAGTTTACCCTTTGGGGTCAATTCTGGTTATGCTCCACTCGTACTGCTGAGTAGTTTCTGCCTTCACTGAACTGTCCCATTGCCTTGTTGAGTAGCACGATATCTCTCTCATTTCCCTGACAGTAGCCCCACTCACTGAAACAGCTCATTTGCAGAGCAAGGTCCACAGGATTTGTTTGGCAATATGTAGGTGTGCAGGAAGACAGCGCGCCAGGCTGCTGTGCTGCTGCTCCATCACCTCTTGGTTGCAGTGGGGACATGCTACAGAAGGAACACAGTGGATGGAGTAAACAGGAATGTGTTTTTCCCAAGTTTGTTCCCCTTCTTTCTTTTTGGTGACATGATGAAGCCTTTGCAATAAGGGAGAGTAGTGAAACCTGTACCCCAGTAGGTTTTATCTTGAAAATCAAATCTCATAATGAATTTACCGTATAACTTCTGAATTCCTCTCTTATCGTCCTCTGAAAGTCTGAAGGTTGATGGGTTCACAAACGAGTAGAGAGGGTACATCAGAGCTTCACGCTTATCTGAATGACCCAGTCCCAAAGAATGGCCAAATTCATGAGCAGCAACAAGGAACAAATTGACTTCTGCAGCACGGAAGCATAAAAAAATATGTTAAAGGTATTGCATTTCTTTTTAGCATAGAAAGGATCGAAGTAGCAGGAGAATCTATATCTTTCATTCCCTTGGAATGAAACCTCAGTTTTGATTAGTTATTAGTGAACTTTCTTACGTAACTATAATATTTTAATAAAATCATTACTGATCCCTTGCATATGATTGTAGAGACCATGAGTCTCTTTCCATCTCTGCTTTTAGTCAACCTTATTCCTACAAGCAAGTCATTTTACCTTTTCATAATTTATGAAATCATATTTTGTTCTATGATTCTATGATTCTATGATTCTATGTAGAAAACAGAGGCTTGTTTAGCCTGTGAAAAGTGCTTTAAAATATGGATAGAACAGGCATCATATAGCTGCTAATGATAATGAAGCACAAGTACTTAGAAAGGTAGTTGAAAAGAACAGAAATGTTGGTACTGAAATAGTATGGAAGCATGAAGAGTTATGGAAAGCATTTCCTATGGCTGTGTCCTTCTAAGATATACAATATTTGCCTTTCCCCTTCCTACACACATGTGGGTTTTACCTCGATTGGACTCTGACCACCTTTCATCATCATCAAAGTGTGCATCTCCGCCAATCCCTTCTCCAGGTGCAAATGCATGAGCTAGTGTGTTGCCTCTTCCATCAAAAGGATATCCATCACCATGCTCTGCATTTGAAAAGACATAAATGTCAGCAGATGACAGCAGCTGTAATGTTTAAATTCAGCAAATTGAAGCATGTTGCTTGTTTGTGCTAGTTTTGTTCATTACCAATCCTTAAAAAAAATCCTACAATACCAGCAAGGTTGTAAAATGAGGAGCAGGAAACACTCTGCAAATTCATGACTTAAGTTCAAAACTTGCATTTGATAATTTAGGCTGCTGCATGTTTCAGAAAGAGTGGAACATTTTTTTCTAAGCTTTTGTCAGAAATGTGTTTCTGAGGCAGCAATCAGGGATTATTTCAGAATAAAAACTTAATACTTGGCAACCTTATAAGAACTTGAATGTTTTCAGTGTTGGAAAGTGCTGGACAACATTAGTTGTAGACATTATCACTTCTACTTGTTTTAGTGGAAGACAATGATTTGGGGTAGATAACCATGTTCCTGAAGAGCTAAGTTCATTTGTCCCCAGCCTTGGGGTACGGTCTATTACCTACTTCTATCACAAAGCAGGTGGAACATTACCATCTCCTACCTCGAGTGCAAGAGCTGACAGGATGATGTATTTGTACTAGCTCTGAAAATTTCCCTCTACCCCTTAGTGAGCTTCAATGTGATTGAGGAGTATTTGGAGACTCAAATGCCATTCTGTGTCCTTTCCCTCAGACCGTGCGGATAGACCTTGGGGCAGGCCAAACACAGGCAGAAGAGAGAGAGTCCTAGGGTGTGATGAGGGATTAAAACCCATTCCAGCTTGCAGGATCCTTTTTCACTTTGACTGGCACATTAGTCAACTTTTTGTGGCAACATAATATGCTTCACATCAGTGAAGCATGGGCTTGGGACGTTGTGGTGTTTATATGCAGTCACCTACTTGTAAGCCAAGTATCTGATCTTCACCTACAGTCAATGGAGATATAGTAAATATTGTCCATGGATCTAGACAACCAGTCAGCTAACCTTGAAGTAGGCATTTAGTTTGTCTAAGTTGAGTCAGTTTATGTGCCAGCCACAAGCTAAAGGTATGGCTACATTCATGTATTAGTCTGGATCACAAGTGAGCTTCTGAAGTGACTCTACTGGTCATCCGCATAGACCATGCTTTGGCTTGCACCTTAGTGCAATCTTGGAGTGCACCAATAGGAGTCCTTCTAGAAGAAAATCAACCAGAGGGTACTCTTTATGGCCAAATCTAATGTGCCCCAGCTGCCAGAGACGGTTCAGTCCAGGGAACCAGACTAGATCTAGACCAAAATTAACCTGCCTGAATGTGCCTGAATCCAGCCTGAGGAGGCTGGATCTTCAGAATCAGCTGTTTTGCTCTACAGATCCGTGCCCATTAGTTTGCAATATTTGTCAAGGCAAACACAGCCTTGAACATCTAAATTGAGGTGTCTCATTCTGGAGCTCAATTCTCCCTCCGTTTCACAGCTGAAAATCTGAAAGGATTTTCTAATGATTTCATAAGAGTAAGACTGAGTCAAAATATGTAAAATTTGGTGGCATGATAGAGAGAAGATAAAATTTATGCAGACTCCAGAATAATTCCAAACTCTGTTGTTTCTTAAAGCTGTGGCTACAAAAATACATGCTTTGAGTGAAATATGGACCATTGCATTTTAAAAATGACAGGTATTCTCACCACGACGTGCAAATCCAACCACAATGTCTGCATGTCCCTGGAATACTCTTTCAAATTCCAGTGGAGTCACATCACTCCATACCATCAGAGCCCTTTTAATTGCATTATCCACTTTCTTTGGGGGTAGATCAGGTGTATAATTGACAATCCTGGCAGCAAAAGGAAACAGGTTAATGTCATTTAGGTTGTGAAGGAAACCCACAGAGTTAAATACAATGCAACTCATTTCCCCATAAAACCTGAAACATCACTAACCTGTAAGTTAAATGTGTCTTCTTCCATCTTGGTCTTCCAGGAAATGTTGTGTAATCTTCTACATCAGGGAGTCCACATCTGGGCTTTTTCATTGTTTCTTCTGTTTCTACATCTATTTTTCCAGTTACAGTCAGGTGGAAAAACCTCTGCATTTCTTTAATCCTGTCTTCTAAGCTTAGGCTTTTTGTTTTTGAAAGAATTGGAAAGAATTTATCAAGATATGCCTGGAAGAAGAAGCAGGAAATAAAAATTAATACGTATATCTATGATCTTTTGGTAATTGCATTTTTCATTTGATTGAACTGTTTCTTCACCCTGCAGTCATGGCTAGGTGTAGATGTGTTTTTTCTTTCCATTTCAGTTTACCGTTCTCTCTAGTACAGATTAGCATATAGAAAGAGAATTGCAATAGCAGCGAAACACTGTAAGGAAGCAATCCTTTTAAGTAAACACAATTTACTGAGCATTCAAATCCACAGCCTTCCAACATAGTATACATAATATTTTTGAGATGTTTTAAAAACATCATGCTCCCCTTTATTTACCACTTGGAACTTGGTCTTTTTTGTAAGTTAGACTTAGGATGTCTAAGCTAGCCAGCAAGTTTAAATTGTTTTGTATCACCTCTGCAAAAACCGTTGTGTTAATGTAAGGTAAGAAGATATTATAAACAGATAGGAAAGGAATGTAGAAGCTGAATCAAAAATCAGGTTATTAATAATGCAGTTATGTTGCCCCCCTGGTAACATACCTTTATGTTCTCAAAGTCTGTGTTGCTCCATGATTGTGGTTTAAATTGTGCTGGAAAAGCAAGAGTCTCGGGCAGGAGGATGGCAGCACAAAGCAGGAGGTATTGCATGGTGCCCAGCTTGCCAAGGAGCCTTGCTGCAGCAGAAAGGGTTTGCCCTTCTGTCTCCCAAGCCCACACCTAAAATGCTTATATAGATCCTGATAGCTCCAAGTGGCAATTACATACATGACTCAGTTTTTTTGCGGTGTTAATGTAATGTCATCACTAAGCATGTTAAACAAATCTTTCCTTTGACTTCCCTGTTGATGTCATGACACAGCCAGCAGTCAGCTTTGTCTCTCGCTTTTCATGTTATTCCAGCAGTGAAACCACAGGGTCAGAGGGAAGTTCACTTTCTGTAACTTCATCAGTACAGTTACTGTATAACCACTTCTTACTGCGCTTCCCCCAAGTTCCTTGTAGACGAAGGCATTTTGCAACAGGCTTTTGGTCGGACAGCCTGCCTGTGTTAGTTGATGCAGAGGCAGAGATGAGATGGACGGGAGCGCTGCCTCGCTGAAACTACTGGCATTTCCCAGGGAGCACGCACAACACTGTCAGGGTAATTTTTCTGATTCAAATCCTCTTGTGAGGTATCCTGTGCTGCACGAAATCCAGTTCAGTGAAGTTATAGAGGTTTCTGCTGTTCTTACAGAGATCAGAAGAGAACTCTTTAACCGTGCCCTCTAGAAATAGGAGGCTGTGGGAAGGCTTTGTCCTTTTCCTCCCAAATGAGATGGCCTTTCAGAAGAGTCTCTTTACATTGGAGAACTAGATATAAAATATAATTTACAAGAATGGGTGGAAGCCCTCGGGAAAAAAGAGAGGAGCTTAACCTAACAAATGTGTAGCTATCTTCTACCTCCAGCTGTAGCAGTGCAATCTGACGGAGGTCCGTGAAGCACTGGCAAAGAAAAACAAAGCTGAACTTGGCAGCCACAACCTGCCCCGTCCCCTGAGACCAACACTGGTCTCAACTTCACTGCATCAAACCCCACTGGAAGTGATAGTTTTTGAGGACTGGAATCACCAGTCCACAGGCTGGCTTGTGATTTTTTTCAGGCTGAGCAGTTTTGTGACCATATTACCTCCAATCTGAAAGGAAAGGCACGTAAATGGGAAAAGACCATTACCATTTCTCACAACAGGACAGCTCGTACGGGTATAGCTGAACATGTATGGAAGAGTTTGTGGGTTACTAGCTTAAGTCCAATGTACTTCTGACTGATGTGACAAGAAAGACTTCAATTTCAGAGAGAGATGATGTATATCAAAACACTGCTGAATTATTCAGGAGAGGTCTACAATACACAGTAATGTCTGAGACAGTTGCTAAAGGAATGATGGTTCCACCTGGTATTGAAAACAGCTCAGATACCTGCCATGAGATCATTTCTGTACATTTTGGTAGGTTTACAGGAAATCTGTTGGTGTCCAACTTTTAAAGCTGGATGAAAAGAAGCTGTTTTACTGTTAGGAGCAGGTTCATCTTTTTCTTCCTCAACAACTGACTTGATGTCTAACTGTGGCAGTAAAGTAGATCTGGACCAGAGTCTGGGTGGCAGGAGATGAAGATGTGTCTAAACCACTGTGAACTGCATGACTCCAGCGTGTGGTACTGATTATTTCCTCATACACACAAGAAGAATTTGAAAGCCTCCAGAGCCCCATTCCAGTTGACAAACTATTGAGCAACTCACATATATCTTTAACTGGGCCATGGGCAAAACTGAAAAGGAGAGTTAAACACAAGAGTTTCCTGAGAAAGGACAGGTGTCATGTTCCATTTATTTCCCGCCGGAAATTTGTCAACTTCCCTCCTTTTTTCTTTTTTTCAAAAAAGATAAAGGGTTTCAATGAACATTGGGCTTGGATTGAGATGAAAAATTTCCCATGAAAAGAATTTTCATTTTTTTTGGCTCAAAATAATCAGGAATCAATTTAATTCTAATCAGAACAATATTAAAAGGAAACAGATGCTGATTTTTAGATGTAGCTGTGTGAATTTTGAAGACTTTATCTTTTTGTCTTAATCTTCAATGACAAAAAATGTTGTGGATCAAGAAAAATAATTTTCTTCATGAACATCATAGTCATATCATTTCCATTCAGCAGAGAACCTGTGCTTATACCAGAGAGTATGGCCTGTGCACAGGAAGTCTGAGGTGGTCAGAAGAAATGCTATTAGAGACAGTTAATAACAGAAGTTGCTGTAGCCACACAGTGAAGATAAAAGTGCTCCGTGATATAAAATTCTATTAAGATGACTCACAATATTGCCACTGAAATGTTTTCACTGTGACATTTTCTGAGGTGAGTAACCTTGGTGTGAACAAGGATGCTTCATGAAACTGTGTCCTATGGGGAACTCATTGATGGGCATCAGAGCTTTTTTTTTTTTTCTAGAGAAAAATACATATATAGAAACTAAGACCTGAGCCTCCTTTAGACATGAGTGGGATGAAAAAGTGAAGTAGAACTAAATGATTCAGTGGTAAATGATCGCTGTTTCTCGGTCATTTGACTTGGACAGGAGGATCAGCTGGATTCTGCCCAACCTGAATTTAGCCAACAGTGGAGTTAGTGCAAGTCAAGAGCTGCTCAAATGTCTTTGTGAATGTTCTGGGTGTAGCTAGGATGAAGTTAACTTTCTTCATAACAGCATCTATCATGCTGTGTTTGTATTTGTGACTAAACCAGTGTTGATAACACACCAGTGTTTTGGGTATTGTTGAACAGTGTTTGTACAGTGTCAAATCTTTCTCTGTTTCACACTCTGCCCCCACAGTGTATGGAAGAGGCTGTGCGGGAAAGAGGATGGGAGGGGTCACAGCTGGGACAGATGGCCCAAGTTCTCCAAAGAGATATTCCATATGATACAATGACATGGTCAGCAATAAAACTGGGCTAGCAGAAGATGATGGTGGAGTGCGTGTTTTCTTCCAAGGTAGTCATTGCCTGGAGACTGGCTGGACATCAATCTGCTTGTGGGAGGTGGTGAGCCTTTGCATCGCTCCCTGAGCCCCCCCTCCCCGCCCCCCCTTTTCACTTACTAAACAGTCTGTATCACAATCCACGAGTTTTCTCTCTTTTGCACATCCTAATCCCTCACCCATCCCACTGTGCATGGGGAGCGATTGAGAGGCTATATGGCTAATTAGCTGCTGGCTGTGGTCAACCCACTACAGTGAATACAAAGCAAAAAGAATGGCCAAAAATTCCTGGGAAATATTGTGTTTGGGTCACTTGTGAATTATTCAATACTGTATTTAAAGTCCTACCGAACTGGACAGACCTGAATTCTTAGGTCTCCAGGACACTTGATTTGTTTTGTTCTGTTACCTGGTTATTCAATTTGACTAGCAAAAAAAAAAAAAAAAAAAAAAATTAAAACATGGCAAATATTTCTGCAGAGTAAAATGTTTTTTTGCATTGCAATATCTTGAGGCTAAGTCCAGTGACACACAGTCAGAAGCTTCAGAACTTTCCCGGTGTTTTTCCACAAAATGAAGCTTCATGCTCCTTCTCATCTCAGCTTCACACGACACACTCCTTTTGGCCTCTGAGCAACATGGATTTGAAGTCCCCTTGTGGTTCTTATGGGCCATTTTTCTTGGCTGGGGCCTAGACTGTAGAGGGAGGCACATGTCCATGGCTTCTGCACTCCATTTCCATAGATTTTACCCCTGAGGGGGCTCCCTCTTCAAAGGAGTCCCTTGAAGCCCTGGAATCCAAGTCTACGTATCCCTTTTGCAGGCTGTGTGAAGGTGAAAGCCTCCAGTCCTCCCTGCCTGGACACCAAGGGCCTGCTGGGGCCTCTCGGCACTGTGTCAGCCCATCCCTGGAGAGAGGCAATCCTGTTCTTCCATCCTGGGAAGCCTCCTTGGCTGGAGCAAGGTGCATTGAGCTATTTCCCAGCAGGATCTACCTCACATCCCACTGCTTTAGGGGAGGAAACGCCTGAGGAAGGGATTAGATGTTCAGGTTCAGCACAAACAATATAACAAGAACTATCACGTCTAAGTTACTAATAATTAAGCAATCAAGCTTAACATATCTCAAATTGTGGATCTTCTTACAGTGTTTAGAATTGCGTTGCATTTAATGACTTTGTATTTACAACAGTGTAATTGGGACACCACATGGGAAAAAGATGTAAATATGGAGATAAATTTTTTACAATAATAATGTTGAACAATAAACCACAAGGGAAATGGCTTTCC